CCATGTGCGCATCCCCCCCCCCCCCCGACCCCTCCGGCCGAAGTCTCCGGAGGGAGGTGGCCAAGCGCCGGTTGGCGGAAGCGCGGATCCTTGAGCTAGAGCGACGCCTGGAGGCGTGCTCCAGCTTGGATGCCGCTCAGCCGGTTGCCTTCCCGGCGGCCGGATCCTGGCCGACGCCCTTTTCCCCATCGCCGAGCCGTGCTCCCCCGGGACCGGGGTCCCCCCCGACGGCGGCCGCCACAAAGGTGACCGCCACCGGGGCGGCCGTCTGGCCAGGCCTCGGTACCGAGGCGCCTGCCTCTTCGGCTGTGCAGGAAAATGTCATCCTCAGTCCCAATGGCCAGACGGTTTTCTTCCTCGATCCGCCAGGCAGTCCGGCGCGGCTGTCGGCCGAGCAAAAGTACCCCACCCGCCGGTCCGGGCCCGGGCTTCGATCGCCACTCTCCTCCGGGGGCCTGGACCGGCCGCTGCTCGGGTCCCCGCTCTTCCCGGCGCCAGCCGCTTCGCCGGTCATCTCGGAGATGTCCCCGACCGAGGCGCGGTACTCCCCACCGGAGCTCCTCCCCTCGCCTGGCGGGTCGGAGCATGCACCGGCCGAGGCCGGCGGCGGGCCCGGCAGCCCTCCCCCCCCAGGCTCGCCCATTGTGACCTGCGTGTCTGTTTCCTCTTCGGAGGAGGACCTGTCCTTTTCGACCATGACGCCAGTCAAACCCGCGACCCCGGCCTCGCCATACCTCTCGCGTCCCTCGGCCAAGGTGCGTCCTCGTGCGACCACAATCCAGTGGTCTTCTGCCCATGCTGGCTCCTCGCCCGACTGTCGCTTGTGCCCACCCCCGCGCCGCCCCCCCCCCCGGCCCCCAAAATCGCCCACTCACTCGTTCGCCTGTTTCCGCAGCAACGAACTCCGCTCGGCAGTCATGACACCCTCGACACCGGCGGGCTGGAGCTGTTCCCGGCCGCGGCCACATCCTCGACACAGCGACGCACGACGCTCGGTCCTGGACGTGCTTCCAGCGTCCGGCCGCATTCCATGTATGCCGGGACCGGGGCCTGTGGGACGGCATACCTGGCTCACCTGGCCTCCCGGACCGAGGGCGACTCGGTCGATGGCCGGCCCCTCACGCCGCCGGTCTTCCGATATGCACCGCCTGAAGTGGCCGCCGCCGAGGTGGCTCTCGCCCGGTCCTCCTCCTCGTGCCAGCCTGCCGGCGCCCGGGGGCGCAGTTCCTCGTTGCTGCTGCCACCTCAGGATCTCGACTCGGCCACTGGCTGCCTGGGCGATTCCAACAAAGGTGCACTCTTTGACCCCTCGTCTGTTGCTCCATCGCCGCCCGATCCGCCATGCGCTGGCGGGGGCCCCGTGTTGCTTGCACCGCTGCCGCACACCCCCCCGCGGGTCGGGCGGGTCCGCGGTGGCGGCAGCAACGCCGGGCTCCCCCCAGATCCCGGCACCTCGACTTCTCCCTTTGTCCCGCTGCCGCAGCCAACTCCCGACCAATCACCCATGTTTGTGTCGTGGCTGTCCTACAACTTGAAGAGTCCCTTCCGGTCGAACAGCTGACGCTTGGATGGTCAGTTGCAGCTTGTCCATTCCGCCTGCCTCGCCGCTGTCCTCCCCCCCCCCCCCCCCTCCTCCCCCTCAGCTTCTCTCCTTGCTTTGCTCGCCCTCAACGACTGTCTTCCTCCCCCTTCTCCTCCTCCTCCTCCTCCTCCTCCTCCCGCCACCCATCCACCTTCTTGATGGTATTGTCAAATTGTCATGGCCAGTTTGCCCTCCTCTTGACATCGGCTATTGTTCTCCTCTACCGAGGATTGCGGCCCGAGGGTTTTATCTTCCCAGCAGGACAGAGAGCGACGATGATGTGCCGTGCAAGGATCTGTGTTCCGGTCCCAGGGCACGTGGCCAGACAACCGGGCATCATCAGGACCGAGCCAGGCAGTTGACAAAGGGCAACCGGGCGAAACATGCATAGGGAAGAAACCGAGGCGGGGAGCTGGACAGGTGCCTGGAGCAGGCGAGGGGAGGGGGGGGGGGGGGGGGGATTTGCTCTGTGTCCCTCTCCTAGTTTTTTCACCTGTCTCCTCCTCCCTTCCCTCGGGCGCATGACACGAGTTCTCGCTCGCTCCCTCTCTCTATCTCTCTCTCCCTCCGACCCTCCCCCTCTCCCCTCCTACCCTCCCTCCTCCTTCTCTTCCCGGTAATCTAACATCCCTTCCCCGCTTCCCCTCACAGCCAATGCCACTTCGCCAACTCTGTAAATGACACCCATACGCGGAGATATCTGCTCCTTTTCCTCTACCTGGCATCTTCCCCTCCCTGCTCTTGACACTGTATCTTGTTTAGAAAATAAATGAAAAAAGCTTGCCCCCCCCCCGAACCCCCACCGTCGGGTGGCGACGGCTCCTCCCTGCCAGCCATGTTGTCCTTTTTTTTTCTCGTCTCTATTAGGCTGCTGGCCACCGCCTGGTGGCGAACCGCAATGCTCGGGATATTTCAGAAGCGGCTGGTGTACAGGACGCCGCCACGGGCATCGCGCGAGGTCCGGGCGTTGCGTGCCAACACTGACGCCTTGGCTGCACGGTTGCCAGTGGCCCGAAGGAAAACATCCATCTCGGCCTCGCGCCAACGGGGCCGCGCATCAAAGAGCATCAGCATGCGCAGAGGCATGTTGCTGAGTGGCAGACGACGGGCCGGCAAATAGCGAAGCCGGAAGGACGCCGGACTGAGAGCCCCCTCAGTCGGCGGGCCGGCCGATCCAGCCAAAAAGGCCGAGTACACAGCTTCCAGGGTGGGCATATCAGGGCCTGGTGCGGCTGACCGCGCGCCGGGGGCCCCGGCAGAAGCCCCAGCCGCCGGGGTTCCATGCGCGGGCTCAACAATGGCAATGCCCTATCCAGTGGGACAGATGGCCAGCAAAGACACCGTCAGTGGAAGGTCACCAGCAGGCGGTGGGGGGGAGGAGGGGGGGGGGGGAGCAAGAGGAACGCACATCCAAATCCGTGGCAACCGGTCGGAAGAGGGCTCCACACAGACGCGTCCAGTGGCGAAGGAAGTGGTCGCTGCGAATGACACGCAAACCGGCGGCGGGATTGCGCGGGCGCTTCGTGGCCCCGGGGCCTGCTGGAGCCAGCATCGGCTCGACACACAGGAAAATGTGCTCCCCCAGCAGTCGGCATATCCGCCGGCGCGAGAGGCACCGCTGGCCAGAGGCCGGGGGGGCGCCGGTCACCAGGCCGAGCGGTGCCAGCAGAGCATCCGAGAGTCCGGCATGCCGGATGATCGCAAGCCAGTATGCCCGGAGTGCCGGGGCTTGGTCCGATGCGCTGGCCACCGGATCCGTGAGGGGCGAATCCCCCCAGAGGTCGAGATCGGCGAAGGACTCGACCCGGACCCCGGGCTTTGGTGCCTGTGCGATCGCGGCCCCGCCACATGGCTCCGACAGCAGCTGAAGCACATGGCGCAGGGCAAAGTCCGGGAAGGCGGCGAAGCGCCCGGGGTCACAAGACACCAGCATTCTGGGCGACAACCAGCGCGCCGACACACGAGCGACGGCATGCGGGTGAGTGACAGGAGCCGGGTGCAAGGAGAGCCCCAAGCTGGGCAATGCCGGGAGAAGGAGGGCAGGAAGGGGGAAGATGCCAGCACGCACTCAGCCGAAGGGGCCAGGATCTCCCCGGTCGCGGAGCGCTGTCGGAGAGCCTCATGAAAGGGAAGAGTCTCCAAGATGGCAACCAAACAGCGAACCAGGTAGGCTCGGTCTAGCAGGCAAAAGCGCACGTCGGCCAGGGTGTCAACCGCAGCCGGAGGATGAACGGTGGCGGCGGTTTGCCATTCGCCCGGTGGGAGGGCCAGGACACCGGCCAGGGCCAGCCCCAGGGCCAGCTCGCCCTGGCTGCACAGGGCCACCGAGCTCAGGAGCTGCCCAAAGGACAGGTGCTGGGGAGATTGCCCAAGGGGCAGACCGAGGGGAGGAAGAAGACCCGGCGACCGAGGGCCAAGTGGCGGAGTCCGGCCGAAGAACCCATCGCCATGGGATGGTGCACAAGTCAGCGACGGGAAAGGCAAGACAGGGGGGGGGGGGGAGGATTCGGCGCACCGTGAAGGGGGTGTCCCGGCCGCGGAAGGGTCCGGCTTCGGGTGACGGGCGCGGGGCCAATGCCCGCTGGATGAGCCGGCAGGCGACGCGCGAGCGGGTACCTTCGGGCAGCCGCCGGCACTCGTGAACCGCTCCCAATGTCGACTGGATTAGCAGACGCCGCCCGGCGGAGCTGTGCTCCGTGTCGGTGGCACCGGGAATGGTGGCGGGCGTGGCGGGCGTGGCACCGCCACCGGGCGAGGCCTTGGCCTCGGGAGTCGGAGTAACCAGGAGCAGGGAGTTGGAGGTGATGGCCCGGCGGACTTGAAAGCTGATGTTATCGGTGCAAAGAACCAGATCCTCATCGGCGTCGGCCGGGGCGCCATGCTGGGGGTCCTCATCGCCGGCCTCCACGTGCGGACCAAATTCATCAAGACCGTCGGCATGCTCATGTGTGATGAGGCGCTCCTCCAGTTGGGCCTGCCGTTCGTGCATGCTCAAGTCCTCCTCAAGGAGACCCAATCCCGGAGGAGTAGCCTCCGACGGGCCAGCCCCCACGGCGATGCCGCCTCGGACAGGCCCCCGGAGGAAGACCGTCGAGCCAGGTTGGAGAGACTGCTCGATCTCTTCGATGCTGTCAAATTCAAGGAGGATGGTCCCGCCAATGTCACGCACCGGCGGGTACCACAACTCCGAGCCATCAGCACTGCGCACAAGCCAAAGTCCAAAGCGGGCGAGAGAGAGAGAGAGAGGGTGGGAGGGAGAGACAGAAGGGCGGAGGAGACGAATGAGAGGCTCTTGCTTCGGCTGGCGTGGGGAAGGTCACTGGAATCTGGTAACATACATGACATCAGCCAGGTCACGCGCAGACAGAAGAGGATGGGGGGCTTTGGAAGGTGCGGGACCCTGCTCCGCCATGTCGCAATAATGAAAGATGGAACGCGTGTAGGAGCACGCGTGTATGTCCTGACAAAGGACCGGGAATGGGCGAGAGAGAGAGAGGGGGGGGCGGCGGCGGAGGAGGAAGAGAGAACGGCAGAGCGCGAGAGGGAGAGGGAAGGAGAGAGGGGGGGAGGCTGTTTTTGCTTCCGGTGCCCTATCGGCTCTCGCCTCCCTCCCTCCAATACCCAGGCACTGATGCCCCTTGCCCCCAAACACAGGCAGAGCATTGGAAAATGGAGCGAAGGAACGCGATCTGGGTGAAAAGTTGAGTGCCATGATCGAGCAGTCCGTTGGGTGCTTGCATTCATGTGATTGACCTCGCCCGCAGGCATGACCCTCGGAGCCTGGGACTTTGCCCCGGCGGCGTTGTTTGGGGAGATGCTGGCGCCCTGGACGCGGCGAGGCCTGCACACGCACCCACAGAGGAGGCACAACGCGCGCGCGCGCGCGCCCACACACACACACACACATACACACACACACACACACTCAGACAAGCATCCGTGGCCAAAACCTCAGGCCTAGCCGCAGGGCTTCCGCCAAAGTGCAGACAGACGATTGCTGGGGGGGGGGCGCGATCTCCTAGACCGCCTGCCTGAAAGCGGGCCACTCCAGGCCGCTTACTCGCCCCCTCACCGCTCTCGCAGCTGCCATCATACAGAGTCTGGCGCCGGGATACGCGCAAACTACGAGCTGCCCCACCGCCCTCCTCTCCTACTCTCGCCCTCTCTCCCCTTTGTCCCCTTCGTGACTTTGTCCGCTTTGTCCTCCTCCCCTCCCCTCCCCCCCGCCCCCGTCCCCCCCCCCCCCCCCTGTGTCTCTTGCTACGGATCTACGCTCGCACTTCCGGCCCCCTCGTCGTCTCTGCATCCACCATCATGTCCGTCGAGGACGATCCCATCACCTGGGTCGGCAGCAACCACAAATACCGGTGCGCCTCGGGCCCTGGCACCATCACCGCTGTCCCGGGGTTGCCTCGGCGCCTTGCCTAACCCCACACCCCCCCTCCTCGCCCTCCTGGCTTTCGTCTCTGGCGCCCGATGTCGCAGGGCCATCACCCTCACGGGCATCCCCAGCAGCAACGCCCTCACGGGCACCCGCCGCATGGGTTTCACCACCACCACCATCCCCACCACCACCCTGGTCCCGGGCAGCGCGGACCTCCAGATGCCGGAGGAGCTCCTCCGGGTCCCGGGCCGGTGCCCGCCCCCGGCGGCGCCCCGGCGGTCGCCTCCCCCTCGGCTTCTGGCGTGGTCGGCGGCCCGGAAATCACTCCCCTGGTAGATCTGCGTCCGAAAATGCGCGACATCCGGTGCAAGGTGATTGTCCTGAAAATCGTCCACACAGGTGCGCTCCAAGATGGCCATGTGCTTCTGCCGCCGGTCGGCCATCCGTCCCCTCCCGGCCTTGCCGGTGCTCGCCCCGCCGGCCATGTTGTCTGATAGCCCGCCATGTGCCTCCTCCCCTGTCAGACCCGGGCCGAAGCCAGCAAAATTTCCCCGAGCACCGGAAGTACTTCATCATGACCATCGCCGACCGCACTTCTCGCATTGAGGCTCGTGTTTATAGTCCGCTCGGGCTGCAAATCCGCCCCGGAGACATCTTGTCCATCACCGACGGGTAAGCCGGCCATGAGCCCTGCCACCACCGCTGTCCACCTGTGTCCGGAAGCCCCGCGTGGTCTTCTTTGCTCTCCTCTCGGCCACTGACCCTGCCTCCTGCCCGATGTGCCCCTGGGGATTAGGATCACCACTCTCTTTACACGACGCGAGGGCCGCTGTCTGTGCCTCTCTTTTGGGCGAAATGGCGGCTTCAGCTGCGTTGGACAGTATGTTTCTCGTGCTTCTTCCCCACACGAACATCCTTCCGCCCCCCCCCCCCCTGCCCCTCATACCCACAACTGGTGGTTGACTCTGGCCTTTCCGTCTGCCTCCCGCCCGCACTTTCCCCTCTCCCTCCCTCTCTCTGTCTCTCTGCCTCTTCTCTCCTCTCCCTGCCAACACGGCCCTTTGGCTCAGATACCAGATGGTTTTCAACGAGCAATTTGACATGACCTCACAATTGCAGTGGCTGAATGACGAATCCGTACGCACCCGCCTCGCCCTCCTGGCATTCACCCTCGCACGCATGCGCACGCGCGCATCCCCAACAACCCAACACACACACACACACACACACACGTGCGCACACGCACACACACGCACACCCCCCACACTGACCGCGCCTCCTTTCTCCAGCTGGACCACATGTCGCGCGAACGGCTCGAGCGGCACCGGACACAAGTCCTCGGTCTGCCGCCGCTGCCGGCGCATGATCTCCTGGCAGTGTCAGCCCCGTCGGATGGCCCCCCGGGGTCTGTACCGGGGATCGGCCTGTCGATTCCCCCCTCCAGCTCGGTCCCCGGGATCGGCCTCACAGCCCCGGGATCGGGGATGGGCTTCGCACTTGCTGGTGGCCATGCACCGGCGCCGGGTTCCGGCAACGCCGGGGCACCCCCCGCTCCGGGGTCCTTCCTGCCGCCCCCCGGCGCCGGGCGCCACTCGTTGGCTCTGGCTCCTGGGGGGATTTCCCTCGAACAACTGCCCCCTCCGCCTGGGGGCTCCTCCTTCCACCACACGCACCACCTGCCGCCTCCACCCGCGCCCGGCCCTGGCCCCGGCCCTGGCGGCCCGCCCTTCCACCACCCCCACCATCACTCGGCGCCGCACCATCTTGCCGCTCCTCCCGGCGGGCCGCCCTCCCACCACCACCACCATCCGCACCACCATCCGCACCATCCGCACCACTTGCACCATGGTCCACCACCGCCGCCGCCGCCGCCGCCACACCACTTCCCTCCGCACCATGGGGCACCGCCGCCTGGCGGCCGAGACCGTGGCGGGCTGCCTCCCCCGGCCGGTGGGCACTTCGCCGCTCCCCCTTTCCATGCCGGGCCTCCGGGAGGAGGGGGGCCCAGCGGGCCGCCGCCGCCGAAGAAGAGCCGCCAATAGACCCATCACGCGGGGAAATCTCCGCCATGAATTGTATCATGTGACGCAGCCGTTATTTTTAAACTCGTCCTCCGAGAACCACTATGCCCCGATCCTTCCACGGCATGCGCGCGCGTGTGTGTGTGCGTGTGCATCCTTTCCACGTCGGGCGGTGAACTTGCTCCTGTGAACTTGTTCCCTTCCGCCAGCAACACGCACGACGGGCCCCGGGGGGAGGGGGGGGGGGGGGGGGGCGCTGGTCGACACCCCTCTCCCCCCGCGACCCGTTGGGTCTTGGC